ATCTAACCATTTCATAAATATAATATTATGTGTCTGCAGGTCATAGGAATTGAATAGCAGCATGTCACAATTAATAGGTTTAAAGTTCTAGTGAGACAGCTTCTTAAGGAATGTCTCCAGGGTAAAAATATGTATTTTTGAGCTTAGGACCAGGATAGAAAAAAAAAAAACAAGAAAAGAAATGTAAATATTATGAAAACTATGTATAGGAGTAAAAATTTTAGGAAACAGCATCCATTTCTCCAAAAGCTTTGGAATGGAGTTATCATGTTTTGACATTTTTGATTTCATGTACTAAAATCCATTGCTGTCTCTTCCTGTTAGTGAAAATAATTTTTAAAAGGTCACATAGGGGTGCGCAGTGGCCAGTCAAGCTGTTCTATTCAAGGAGATTTTTTTAAGGAAACTGCCAACAAAAATTTATTTTTTAAATATTTTTTATTTGTGCTCAGTAGTTAAATAAAATACACATTTCCTCCGAAGTCAGATTTTACTTCCCAGAGCTGCAGACATGTCTGTCCAAACAGATGCTGTGGTTTCAGAGTCCAGCCAAGTGAGCAGATCACATTACACTCCACCCTTCTGCAGGGCTTGGGGAAGGTTGGGGGTGCTCCTGAGAAGGCATGTAAGGACATGTCACACCTGAAAACAAAACCAAGTTTACTACTATCCCCAACTCCATATCTCATGTAGGAAAATCTCACTGACATTCTCAAAAGGAACAGGAAGAGGGCAAAGGGCTACCACTCTGCTCTCCAGGGACAATCTCTAGGTTCCAATTGAAGTTCCTGGAGGACACCCCAAAGCATCAACACCTAGGACCTATCCTCAAATAGTCTGATCACTTTGTCATCTGAGAGTCTGAAAATTTAAAAAAGTATATTTATCTAAAGCAATCTTTGTTTCATGAAAAAATCTGGAAGAAAAGGCAGAGATTTCCCTTCCATGTGCATTCACCCATGATCAGCATCTCCAGCCAAAGCAGTGCATGTGTTAGAACTGACAAGCCCACGTGGACACGTCACCCGAGGCTGAAACCACCCAAAGCCTGTGGTTTACAATCCAGATTCACTCTCGGGTGTTGACATTCTATATCTTTGGACAAAGGTAAAATGATAATTCTCCATCACTATAGTATCCCACAGCTCTTTACAATTCTTTGTCCACTGCCTATTCATGCATCCCATCCTCTTAAACTCTGACACCTGCTGATCTTTTGAGCATCTTTGTAAGTTTGCCTTTTATAAAAGTCATGTAATTAGAATTATAAATATAAAATCATTCAGATTTACTTTCACTTTCTAATGTATAACTAAGTTTCTTCCATGTTCTTTTATGGCTTATTACTTCACCCTAGCACTGAATAACAGTCTATTGTTTGGTTACACCACAGTTGATTTATTCACTCCTCTACTGTAAGAGTTAGCTGCTACCTGAATTTGCTTAAGAGCTGGCCAGAGGATTAGTAAAGCACACTTTTTCATGTGTCTACATGGGCCATGGAAGTGACCTTGGGTACTCTACATGGTCCCTGTCCCCCTCCCCTCTGGTCCTGCTCCCCTGCTGTATTTCCTGGCCACCATGAGTTCAGCAGTTTGGCTATGGCACACTTTTCCATCATGATGATTTTGCATTGAAGTCAGCTGACCATGAATCAAGTCTTTTTATAAAGCATAAGCCAAATAAAGCATTTTCTTCTTTAAATTGTACATATCAGGTATTTTGTCCTAGGCCCCTGTAAAAAAGAAAAGAAAATCTGACTAATACAGGAGTAGGGGCATTGCTGAGACTATACCTGAGCAAATATTTTAGATGCTTTTGGCACTAGTTTCTAAGAGAAGTTTGGAAGGGTTTGGAGATGCAGGCTAGAGAAACCCTAGAAGGCAATAATGAGACTAATGGGTTATTCTGGTTGGAGCTCAGAAGATGACAATGTTGATAGGAATGCAGACAGTAAAGTCCAGGCTCATGAGGTTTTAGTTGGCAGTTGGAATGTAGGCCATGTGTGTTACACCCTGAAACAAAAAATTGTCCAAGTTTTCCCCATGTCTTGAGACTTTGCAGAAGATTGACATTAATGGCAGTGGACAAATTGATATAGTGGAGTAAATCTCAAGGCAGCTCAACATTCAAGCTGCAGTATGAAAACTACTGGGTGCTTTTAGCTAGATTTATAGTGATAACTGGGGGCAAAAATCAAAGCAGAGCAACTTTAGAGACTTAGATTTCAGTCTGAAAGGAGTCGAAAGAGGTATAGTTGCTGAAGAGATTAGATACATTAAAAAGAAAGAAGTACTATGTACAGAGACAAGATTATCTCAGGAAATGGAGTCAGTCTGTTACAGTCTCAAGGGTGCAACAGTGCCAACCTTTCCCTTGAGAAAATAATTCCCTTGGGAATACCTGCTCAAAAAGTGATTACTTTTTCAAAAAAAAAGCTTGTTTAGAAAGTGATGCTTAGAGAATTGGTTCCCTGGTTCTATTTCATGGTTCCCAGGCATCCAGGCACTCAGAGCTGCTACATTGTGTTCAGCAATGGGAAAGCTGACTAATATGTCAATGTCAAAGCTACCAGAGAGAAGCGAATCCCCACTTAAGCTATTTAATAAAGGCTACTTTGACCATTAATATGTTTATTGCTATACACAGCTCTTGGGGCAAAGCAGTAACAAGTTCATTTTAGGCCTAAAATTTCCAAGAATGGATTAGATTCATCTTGAAACTAGTTTAAGTGCTAAAATATTATCATTTTAGTATAATCTTAATATTTACTACACAACTATTGTTGTAATTTAGTCCATGCTTTGCATTCAAGGTATAGGCAAATTAAAAAATATGGAAGAAAAGCTCTTTTTAAATTTAATGTAGATTGTGCTCGCTTCGGCAGCACGTATTTTAAATTTAACCTAGAGGGTGAAAAAATTAGAGTCAGAATTGTGACCTTGGCTAAGCCACTAATCTGTGCAATTGTCTAAGATCACTTTCTATATGAAAAATATTGCAATGATACCTAATTCTGGAGCTATTTTGAGAGTAAAATAGGACATTGTTTAATATGCTCATGAAGATGGTTAATCCATGGTTAGAGCTCAATAATTGGTAGTAATAGAGAATGAATTGTCATAGTTATTAGTAAAATTAATATGCCACTTTATATTAGAAGAATAAACCACCTACAGGAAAGGAAAAGTGGCTTTACTCTGTATTTCTCACATCATTTGATGAATTAATGGATTGGGTTGCTGCATCCTTAAAACAGATCACCTTTTATTGGTTATTTACTTTATCTTCTACTGTTACTTTAAAAAAAAAACTTTTAGAAACTTACACTTGTACTTGATGCTTTAATGTGTCACAAATCTAGGAAATGGTCAATGTCAGACATTAATCATTTTTAGAACCACAATATATTTTCACAAACCAGGAAATCTACAGGCATTCTCTTCTGGACAATGAGTATGGGAAGATTACAGGTGATTCACAGAAATTCTGAAGCATATCTATATCTATATCAGTATCACCAGTTCACAGTTCACAAGCCAAGAATTCCCTATCCTACAAAACAGAGATATGTCCCTAAAGAGTTTTTAAATTTTTAATAATCACGGAATCAATTTCCAGTATCATATGATTATGCAACTTACTTTTTCTTCTTAATTGTTCCCTATCATTACTTGTAGTCCTGAGGACAAATTATGTCCTTAATTTAGAAAAAAATCTTAAAATTACACAGAAAAACATTCAAAAATATATCGCAAGTGTATATGTATGAGATAAAAGAAACAACTTCATAAGAAGTTGATATTTTCTCCAAAGTGATATCTAATTTTAATATTATTGCTTTAAAGTAATTTTTCCACTTTTGAAGAATAGTCATATACTGACCATAAAATTATTTAAAGTGATGGATAGAGAGTTGAGACTTTTAAAATGAAGTTTAGGCTATAAAATTGGAATGGGGTACTGATTCAGGATATACAAATATATTAAAAAGAATAAAAGAGCAAATATTCAAGCAATTCTACCACTATGGCAATTGACAAGAATATTTGAAAGCTCTAGAAAAAGAAGAGCTAAAAATGCTATTAGTTAATCACATAGCTCATCAGTTGCCAAAATCCATAAGAAATGACAATTTAAAAACTCTAGTGCTAAGAATAAAGCAGAAAACTATGTGAGGATATCATCTTTGATCGGGAATTACTTCTCAAGCCACACTATAAAGATTCTCAGAGGCTTCCAACTAGGGGCTGATAAGTCAACAATTTATAGGTCCTTTTTGTTGGCTATTTAAAAAGATCCTATTAAATAATAAATAAATAAATATTTAAACATCTAAGATGACAAATACAAGGACCATTAAGTAGGCTGTTATTGGGAAAAGTGCCAGACAACCCGACATATAAGATTTTCATAGGACCACAATCAGGGCTGGGCTCAACGTCCCCTTCAGACAGGGACAAAATCTATCCAGACAATTATTTCCCTGCTTTGCTGTCCTTTACTCCTTTTCCTTTCAGTCTGAACACTGTATGCCTTTAAAGTGGACATCCTGGTAGGGATCACATTTAAATGAAATATTATAAAGCAAAATAAAAGTAAGAATAAGCTAAAAAGTGTGTTCCAGATATGTGATAGTTTAACACCCATATTATGAGAAAAATTCAAATGAGATAGAAAATAAGTATTTAATTTTAAGTGAATTAAGTATATAGAAGTAACCTAGGCCAGAAATGAAATGTTAATAAACATTTACAAAAATGTTCTAACACATTAGTTGAAGAGATTTGGCAAAAATTAAAAATACGATTTTGCAGCATGCACATAAACATGGTGTGATTGAAAGATACCGGGAGTGTTTGCATTTTTAAACAAGTAAAGAGAACACTGCCATTAGTCACCCTCAAAATTCTCCCCCTCACTTTGAATATGCTTATCCCATGATTCTTGCCACTTTGTGACACACTCCTAGAAGTCCTCCTTTGTGAGTGCGTGTAGTAGTGCTTTTGTGGCTGCCTAGATGTCCTAAGTGGATCCCAAACAAACTTCCGTGGTCATTTTGACTTTGAGGAAGAGCCAGAAGTTACAGGGCACCCGATCTGTTGAATAAGGTAAATGAAAGCATACGCTAATGTTTTTATTTGATGGAAATTGCCTACATTGGTCAAGAAGAGTTGATGATAAAATACAGCAAATGCTTAAATTTAAGAATTTATTACAGTAAAAGACACACTATAGTCAATTCTCAAAATACCCCCCTCGCTTTGAACACATTACATCATTCTTGGCAATGTGTCTTTTACTGTAATGTGGGTTTTAAAAATTTAAACGTTCACTGTTATCTTTTGATCACCCCTTGTAAATTGTTTGCCACAAAATTCACTATAATAAATGTTTGTACAAAGATATTTGCCAATTTTATTATTGCCATTGAAATAGTTGTTGGATGAAGTATATATCCAGCTAGCTTAACACTTCAGATTGAGCTCTTCAAACTAAAAATAGTTGTGATTGTGAATATGTCATGTTTTATATTAAATGTTTCTATGGCCAATCTGCCAGAAAATAAACTATTAATATAACTTTGTTTTTTGATTAACATGCAATCTTATCTCAGATCCTTTCATGATGTTTTTCATTTCCATTATCTCAGTCTAGATTCTCTCTTGTACAAGCAATAGTATCTTCATTCTCTTTTTCCCCACAGACTTGTAAAATATCGTTAGGTGTTCACTGGACAGAGCAGCAAAAACAAAGAAAAGTCCTAGAGTTTCTTCTGACCTTTTCATACTCACATTGTAACAAAATTAATAATTTATAATATAAAAAATAAATTAAATATGTATTGTGTTTATTATACAATTTGTTAAACTAAGTAAAGGTGAAAACAAATTCAAACACATTTTGCACTTATTTTCCACTTCTAAGATTTGGCTAGAAATATCAGAAAATGTTTTCTGTAAAGTTTAGTTATTTTTCAGATCTCTAATATAGACCCAAGAATGTATAAACATTAAATTTTTTAAAAAGGACAATTCAAATTTAGACAGATAAGTTTCCAAATGTATAGAATAACAAACTCTATTTCCAAGCCTGAAACTGCTGAGCATGTATTAGAGTGACAGTTATATTTTTATACACATATTGAATATTGTTTATGTTCTTTCTGTAGTATTTATTCTTTCCCATAGCAACGAGCTACCTTTTATTCACTCTCATCGTAATTCAATAAATGTTCAAAATCTGATTTTACTCAAAGCAAAATTTGAAATGAACATGGAATAAGATAAGAAAGAATATCATAAAAGCAGTTTTAAAGTTTTTATTTCTTTGTCCTTATAAATAACTTTTAGAAGTCTCTTGCACATTTATCCTTTGATCTTCTCAGCCTCAGAGAAAGCTACTTCTTCATTAAATAAGTTCATAATTATTAATCATCTTCTATGTCCCAGGAACTATCCAGAGCATTAGAGATATAACTATGGGTGCCACAAGGTCTTTATCATCGTAGAGCTTGAATTGTAACTGAAACAGAAAACTAATCAGTGAATATGAGTAACCCTTAAAGTCATTGTGAAAATGAAACTGTGCGTCTAACACCGCATCAGGGGTGAAAGTTGATAGGGAAAGAGAAATTGCATGACTCTTACAGTGGCATTTGAGGAGAGTCCTACAGGAAACAGAAGAGAGGCTTGTAGATTTGGGGAGCAGGAGAGTCCCATGCTGCCACTATTTTGGTTTCAAACATCACCTCTAGGATCTGTCACTTTTGTTTTCCCATAAATATCAGTAGGGCTCTAGTGGGTCACACTATCCCTACTGCCAGTTTCCTTTCACAAAGTATAATCCATAGTTTAAAAGAAAAATATTTAAAATATGCAAAAAGATTTTTTAAAGAGAAAAGGGAAGAAAAAAGAGAAACGAGAGAATTCGGCATTGCATAACCCATGTTTTCTAAATACTAGGTGTAAAGACATGATGGAAAATACATGTTATTATTTTTTATTTTTATGTTGTTTGCTGTGTATTTGTTTGAGTAGCTATACACCTCTTATCCTATTACAGTCAATATATTCCAATAGCTTAAATCTTTGCCAATGTGAAAAAAAGGAGGACATTTGGCTAAGAAAACAGAAAGAAAAATATTGGAAAGTACAGAAAGCCGAGTTTCTCCCTGTGGTGTGTGCTGTCACTCTCCATCAATAAAAAAAATCAAACGTGTAAGTGAGCTACGGGTTCATACTATGAAATGTTGATATATTATACGAAAGATGAATAGACAGCATCCGTCCTACCTGGATAGGTGGAAATTCCACATAACCTTGTTCTTAATGAAATATCTCTTGTTTTTCTTCAAAGTAATTTTATTACTATCACTGGATCATAATTTCTGTGTAGGACAAAGGAAATGACTGTTACCGCTTTGCAATCCAAACCCTTGTAAATCTGCTGCCCCAAGTGTTGACAGTATTTGAACACATGGATTTTTAAATGACACAACTTCCAGATGTTTGCCAGTCAACAAAGATGTGTAGAGTCATAAACTTAAAATAATATCCTAAAGAGAACATGCACTTTTAATAGCCTTATACTGCACTTGCTGCTCTCCTCTATATCGACATCATTTCGTGTTTTCATACTGGGAGAAAAGGGGGTGGGTCATGGGTTTCTTGCATATCTTTGTACCTTTTTAATTTGGGAGTCTGCAGTCTCAGTTCTTTCTTTTCCCGATTTTCTTCAATTATCTAATAAAAATGCACCTTGAACCTAACATATCTGGCTCTGAAGATATAATTATGAATAAGGTAGACACAGCTCATGCTTTTACAAAGCTTACAGATTAGTAGAGAAAGTCCCCACGTCAGCAAGGAATAATTATAGAATGCAATGATTGTTTTGCTGGGCCTAGGACAGTGCATTGCAGGGACACAAATGTGGGACACTTTGGCATAGTGTGGAAGAGAAATGGGCAAGGGAGCCTTCTCAAGAAAGACATCCAAGGTACAACCTAAAATGTAGTTGGGTATGGTAGAAGTGAGCCAAGACACACTGCGGACGCAGCATGTTTTAAGGCCAAGAGAAGCCATAGTATAATCCATTCAGATAAAGGCAAACCATAGAGGAGGGCTGGATGAGACAGTGCCTAAATGTGTAATGGAATGAAGAACTTAACCTTGCATAATATTGAGATCCAAGTTAAAGATATTAGGCTCTGTCCTGAGGGCGAAACCATTGGGGTTGCTTTGGGAAGAAAGAGAAGCAATGAATTTTAAATACATTGAGTAGTTTGAAAAAGGTGTAAAAGTATTGTTGTAATAATCCAGGATAGAGATGATCAAAGATAGAACAGGTCTTTCATAGGTGATGAAGTGAATAGGAAAATAAAGGAGAAGGGAGGTTTCTAAGGATGGGTCTCTGGTTTCTAATTTAAGCAAATAGAAAATACATGTTGGTTTCCTGTGACTTAGGAAAGAAAGTATTCATTTTTGAGCATGTTGAATTTAAGGAGTATGTGAGATAAAGTTGCAAACATACTCATAACTGTTGTTACAGTTTGGATCTGAAATGCCCCCACATGTGTTCAGAGGTGGGGCTTTCTGAAAAAGACTGAGTCATGAAGGCACTAACCTTGCCATGGACCATCGGTGAGATCAGACTTGAAAGGGCTGTTAGGGGAGGGCCCAGGAGGACAGGGGAGGGTAATGTGGAAGGGTGTCTCTTGTCCCCGGGCTCTTCCTTCCGTTTGTCTCTGCTTCCTTGCTGCCATGATGTGAGCAGCTTTGCACCACCATGCCCTCCTCCCATGATATGATTATATTTCCTGGAAAGGCTCAACAAGATGGAAGACAGATCCCAAGCACAGGATGCAGCAGCCTTGAGAGTCGAAGAATAATTCTTCAGTTGAAAGGAAAGGGAAGAAAACCAGTGTCCGTGGGGTGGCATCAGGAAGCTGGGGGAGTCCTATTTCCCAGTGTCAGAGAAACTTCTGAGGGAGCATTTTGAAGGAGAGTTAAAAGTTTAAAGGAGATGAAAAGGGTTTAAAATGTTCACTGAGGAGGGAGGAGAAAAGAGTTTACTAAGTAAATAGAAAAAGGTTCCAAGAAGGACTGATTACAAGAAATTACTTTATATTTGTATAAATCTTAATGGTTACTCAATTTACCCTCTGCATGCAGATCCCTTTGGACAGAACCATTTGGAATTTGAGTGTGATAGAAGAAGAAAATAAGAGGATTGACAAACTTGAAGTATTCGTCAGCGGAATCTGAACAAAGTAGGGAGTAAAATAAAGAAAAAGGAGGACTTGGCTGTGGAGTGAAACAGAAATACAAGACTGGAGCTCAGCTGCATCGAAGAATATCTGTCCTGGAAAAAAAATAAGGTAACTGAAAAGATAGAGGTTTGTGGGCACAGGACATTTTCTGAATTTACATTATTAGCAGCAGTTGAGCAATATGAAGTAAAAAATACTATTCCAGCATGCAGCTGGGCAAGCGAGTTGCTGGAAAGAAGTAGGCTCCTAGGGCAATGGAGATAAAGCCATTCACAAACTGAGAGCAGGGACCTTCGTGGGCTATCCCAGGACCTTTAAGGATACGGTGTAGGCAAAAGGCTTTAAACCTTCAGAAATAAGCTTTACTACAGGCAGGTGGCACAATGCTGCCGTGCAAGCCCTTGGGAGACTGAGGCAGGAGGATCGTGAGTTCATGGACAGCCTTGGGCACATAGGGTGTTCAAAATCAGACTAAACCACATAGTGAGACTCTCTTAAAAAAATAAAAGAGCAAACAAGATATGTGTTTAAACTTCTTTAATTCTTAAACATTTCATGTGAATGATTGCTCAAGAGTTCATTTTTTTAATTAAACAAGCAATGAAAGAAGAAAACAGCTTTCAAGCTATTTTGGTGTACATGACCATACCCTCTTTTTCTTATTATTCCTGCTCTAGAAGTGAAAACAATCCATAGGAATTCACTTCATACTGGGCAGTAGTAGTCTGTTCTGAGACCGCCAGCTCATACACTGCCGCTGAGTGGGATCTCTGGGATAGAACACTCCGAATCAGAGTTTAGAGTTCAAGGTGATTATTAGAAAGCTGTGGGATAAATATCGAGGTGGGAGCAAGAGGCAGAAGCGAGGTTAGGCAGAGGCAGAGCCAAAGCTGTCAGGGAGGCTGGATGAAGTGAACCCTGTAGTGGAGCACGGGGCTGGAGTGGCTCTAGAGTTGTGCTGGCTTCTACCACTGGGTCCTGCTTCAGACTTCTCTGCGGATGCAGGCTGCTGTGGAAGAAGCCTAACCCTGAGCCAGGCAGGTCTCCCAGCGTTCTCCCAGCTGTTCAGGCAAAATAGAGTCATGAAAAAGGATTTCTCGGCGCTGCAGTACTTATCTATCATATGTCACTGCATTTATGTTTCATTAAGTAGAAATCGTCAAAATGAATGTTTTAATATGCTTTGTTCTTAGCTGCTGGCAGGTAAGTTATTGGTAAGTTCTATCGTAAGTGGATAGAATCGTTCATTTGCTGCGGTGTGAATACATTATATTAAATGTCATAGAAACACAAACGTTATGCCTTGAAGAAAAATTTTAAAGGCTCATATACATATTTTCTACTTGATTTGAAATTAGCTTGTGATTAATGATTTATAGCAAAACTACTATGCCATATGAATTAAGAGGCTACAAAAATTCAGTGAATACTGCAAGAGGCAATTATTAACATAGCAAAAAATAAGAAGTAAAGGGTAACTTGAAGAGCTGTCATGCTGAAGATTTAGTTTCAATATGCATCATTTCTTCTGTAAACATGTAATCAGGTAGTTGTGATTAAAAGCAATATTGGTAATATTTAATCACAATTTGATGTTAAGGAAAATATCCCACAAGATTCAAAGTGCTTTATTATCTAAAACTTTTACAATTAATTTGGAGGAGATCATTTCCAACAAGAACCAATGGGTCAAATCGTACACATATGAAAAATGCTGCAAGCCTTTATGTTATAGACTTGCTAAAGTGAAAGTAAAAAAACACTGAAATAATCAGAAATCCTAATGTGAATTATATATGTAAACACACAGGCATGGACATTGATATTAGAAAACACACAAAGTCATATTTATAGTTTTCTTCCTTACCTAAAGTCACTCTTAGTATAAGTCAACTAATCTAGCAATAGTGCTTACAAAATCATACTGCTATTACTAGTTAAACTAAGCATTTTGTTTTCATTATCATTTCTACCACAAAGCCAATGTTTATGAGTGAATGAGTGACACAGATAGATTAAAAGGCTGAAGTAGATTCCTTCAATTTCTCCCTACTTGTAGCTTTCTCTGTCTTCACTCTTTTCTCAGATGACCTACATCAATTTCAGTTAATCTACACATTCCTTCGCTTGTTCACTCATTTAAATAAACACACCAACCCCATTTCAATTGTTCTAAGGCTACATGTGGCCAGGGACATGTTATTGGCCAGAATAAATAGAAAATATTTTCATCATCATAAACAGTTCTATTGGATGGCCCTACTCTAGAGGGTAGGTTGCAAAAGTAAAAGCAAAAATTCCTGTCATGAAGGATGCTACAGACAATTAGAAGAAAATAGGATAGAAGCAACTCCAAAGGACTTTTGGATAACAAAGTATAAGCACCTAAATGAATCTGGAGAGGGGCGTGGAATCAAAACGAAGATCCCCGACTTGGATTTAGTCTGGTGACGAGGAACTGATGAAAAAGGCAGCAAGCACAGGTGGTATTCTTTCAATGCTTGTTTACAAAATAAAACCCATGGAGTATTTTCAGGACATACAAATATAGGATTTGAAATGACTATGATCCAGAGTGATACTGGCTGAGGCTTTCCAGACAGGTCTCACAATTTGTTTTGTTTGTGTCACCTATGAAATGCATATAATAGAATCTAACTCTTCGGGTTGGTATTAAAATTTAACTTTTTAATATGTGATCCATTTAGAATAGCTCCTTATTTGGACAAATACTTATATACGTATTAACAGTTGTGTAATAATAATAATATGTGTTATTGCATTTCCATTATTATCTGAATGCATCGCCTTAGACCAGACTGCTTGACCACGGCCTTCCATTATTATGTCAGAAATTGGAAGAATGATCAGAGATTTGTTTGAGATTTGTTCCAGATTCAGGTGAGGCCTACTTTTGATTACCATATCATATTCAGGAATATTTACAAAAAGTCTTTATCCAAATGAACCTCATTTTCCTTTTTCTTTTTGGAAAATATGGTAGGACCAAGAGAACTTTTGTTCTAGAAATGCTGGAGGGGGGAAATCAAAAGCAATAAATGAGAAAATATTTAATTTTTTAAACTTTTCCAGGTCAGAAAAAAAATCATTGAATTATGAAGCCAAAAGAAAATTGTTCTTGCACTATTTCTTTTTCTTCTCTTTTTTTTTTCCTGGACCAATCAGGTTCTAAAAACTTCTAAAATATCCTAAGACAGATTTTTCTTGCATGAATTCTAGTCGCCTTTTGCTGACTTGAAAGGTTGGAGTGGTTTGGCTAAGAGTCAACCAACAATCAAACATTGGAAATGTTTGTTCAGACTGAACTTTTGAACTGTTTCATGTTGTTCTTTTACTACTACACACTAAAGATAGAAAATCAAGCATGCTTTTTAAAATAAAGTAAATACGGGCAGTTAGTTTAGTTTTAACTAATTTCCTTCATTTACTTTAAGCTATGAGAGCAACATGATCATAAAATCACTCTGTAGTTGTTTTAACGCGACCAATTTAATTGTGTAAGCTATTTTGTTCAGTGATAGAACTTCAATAACATATGGAGTGCATCACATATTTGATGATTTTTTTGGTAATTTTACTTTCAATGATGTAGTTGATTCTATGTGTGATTCACTGAAATACGAGGTTTCTGATTTTACTTACAAGTTAATTTTAGGCTCTAAAAGAGCTTTGAAATTTTCTTTTGCTTAAATCATCAGTAGTTATTCTCTGTATCACACCACAGTTAGGGCTACCTTTACCACTTGAAGTTGCAATTCACCACGCGACAGGCCAGAATTTACAAGTCAGAATCTACAAGAGACAGAATCTAATCCGGGGCATTTTTTAAAGTATCACAAGAAAAATTGATGAGATCTTTTCAGAGGAGTGATTTCGAACCCAATAGACTAGGTTCATTTCCAGAAGATAAAAAGAGAATTAAAAAATAATTTTTAAAAATAACATAAAATTAAAATAAAAAATATATATACATATCTTAACCATAATGCAATGCATATAATAAAGTCATATGTATTTCATAATATTAATCTTAGGCACTGCTATATGAGATTACAGTTACATTAGTTAAATGTTTATACCCATAATGATTATGTTTGAATTTTTAAAAAATCATACTCAATAGAAGAGTGACCTTTTTCCTTAATTTTTAACACTTTAAATACTCAACAAGTAAAATGATTGTAAATTTCAAACTTTAGAATACACAACAATATGCTTATATTTATAGCAATTCAGTCACCCAGAGCAGCATTTACTACATTGTTTAAATTTTTCCAAACAGAAAAATCTAGTGAAGTTTTGAATAAGATAACAAACTACATTTCTCAAAAATCAAAGACTGTTAAAATGTATTGTGTTTGTATCTGAAATGAAGAAATGTTCTACTTTCATTATTTGAACAGATGCCACGGATATGAAGGATAGATAGCGTGTTGTCACTTGAAAGTTCTGTGGAAATGAGACAATTATTTTGTACGGATATGGTGGGCTTTGTGTGTCACACCTCTGATAGCAAATCGTTCAATGCCAGTGCTAGCTTTCACACCATTTTGGTTAAACAAAAAGACCCCACCAATGTCTATAATGTCGCAGAGAGCTGGTGTCACCCTCTTTGATAGATCCACTGCTTTCAAGGCAATCTGGCTGTGATTATCATGCCTTTTTTCTAGTACCAGCACTTAAATTAGTGTTTTTCAGCCATCCTTAGGAAGCCTCTTAGTAATTCGGGAAAGCTCATGACACAGTCGCTGCTTGACCTGAGGTAGCTGGGGGGAGCAGATGCTGCTGAAACCCTAAGCACATCCCCCCAGCTCCTACTGTCCTCATACAGGTCAAAGTGTCCTCCCTGTCTCAGACCCTCCTCTTGACCCGCACACTGTATGAACTGGAAGTCACTAAAAATGAGCCCTTAGCAATTGCCACTCATTCATTGACAGAAGTGAACTCAAAGATTGATGTGCTGATTTCCTTGGAGCTTGGTTCAGACAATGAGAATGTGCCCCAGAACGTGACCTTTAAATCGAGCCCAGAGGGCTTCAGTGACAGCCCAGCTAGTTAAAATAGCTGTGTGTTTTGATTCCTTCTCTATCTTGATTTGTACTCTTTTCCAAGTTATTTTCTTGGTGAAGGAAGAGATTCAGAAACAGGACTCCTTGCCGTCCAGATGGCAACAAAGCCTTTGTTGTTTGTAGTAACTAGGCTAATAACAATAACCCATGGAATAATACAGTGTCATTACTGGGATGGACTGGGATTAGCACTGGATGCAAAGTTAGCACAGGTTCATCCAATTCCTCTGGTGCTAGAAGGAATCAGTACTATTCTAATTATTCAGTTTGTGTAGTGCAGTGGTTCTGACACCACAGAGCCCCAAAGGAGAAAAGCAGCAGGTACAGATTAGCAAACCAAATCACTTAGCATACGATGGAAAACAGAAAGTGTGCTTGGCAGCATTTTAGGAGACCTTTATTTCCTGTGGTTGGAGGCAAAAGTGTGCTGAGAATCCACATTTTAATTGGAAGAATTGCAAGGGGTGCACACCACAAAAGAAGCTTAATTTACAGCCATAACAGGGCTCTTTTAAAGCCTGAATGAAAAGGAAGGGATGAGATGCCAAGGGCAGGAAGATTAGGGCAGGAGGCCAGAGTCTTTAAAACCCCAGGTATCCCTGAAAACTCTAGGGTGGCTGGGAAGAAAGCTTCCTCTTAGCTAGAGGATCACCACCTCACACTGGTTGGAGGTGAGGGAAAACTTTACCTGGGGCTCATGTCCTGCAGAACCCATTCTGGCCTCCTTTGATGTGCTTGTTACTTTTTTCATTGCTTTTTGGTAGTCAAATATTATCACAGCTCACCTGGAAAAATGCAGCTCCTGCTGCACTTTTTCTTTTCTTTTTTTTTTTTTCTTAGTATAACATCCATTTTATTAGTTCATTCCCTCTGCCCAAAGATGACACTTTTCAGTCCATTAAAGCCCAGCTCCTCACATGGGCTTTGGTGGGGGTCGTGGGGCAGCACCAGCAGGTCTAAATCAGGGTGGAGGTATGCGGTCCTTCTGAGCTTCACGAGATCTATTCCTGACCACCTTGGTGAGAATGGCACAACTCACACTGTAATGCAGCATCACACAGAGCTTGGAAAGCACATAAGAGTTGAAGGTACTCGCTTTGGAAATGTCCCTGACACCGCCCACCTCTACTATGTTTCGAATGATGAACTTCTTAATGGACTTATCATTGGGCACACACCGGGGGCAGTTCATGCAGTGAATAGCCTGTCCTTGGCTGCGGCCCTTTTTGGCACAACCATTGTTCCATTTTCCTTCTTTTTTTGGTCATCTTGGAAGGGAGGACCCGAAAGAGCTTTTTCATTTACATTTTAAATGCAAACATTTTTATTAACAGTTTAGGACTAAAACAGTTCCACATAACAGAAAAAATAAATGCATAAGTCTAGACAATGGAGTGTTAAATTGCAGCAGACAGATTAATACTCTTCACCTTTGTCCTCTCCCTCGGCACTGTCTGCTCCAGTCTCTTCATAATCCTTCTCCAGGGCAGCCATGTCCTCCGGGCCTCAGAATAATACATAATAATACATACACAAGAGATGCTGGATCATGCCCCTGGAGGGAATCTCCAGAACACCCCAGGGAATGATCTGGGGGGTGTGGGGCCAGGGAAAATGAAACTTGCTAATAGGAAGTTTTTGGATCTAGAGATCCTCCTTCCCCTCTAAACATTGCATCAAGAATGCTTGGGATAGATCAACTGTGTTTCAAGAATTCCTGTCCTGTCCATGACACGGTGAGGTCCCAAAGGTGGCTTGGAGCCCCACCTTCATCCCGTGCTCCACTTAGCCTCACGGGCACCTGCAAGGCCCAATTCCACCCCACACACACACACACACACCTTACGGCTCTTCTGCTACCTGGTCCCTCACTACAGAGGCACAGGGGATTATACTTCACATAGTTATATGTGATAGATTAATAACTACCACAAATTGTCATTTGCTAAGCTGCTCTTGATGCTATGGTATTGCTGTAACATTTGACCTAACATGTTGTGATTGATCTAATCAGTTTTCCTTCCTGATATAAGGAAAATAAAATAGCCTCAGAGTCATTAGAGACTCAAAACCTAAACACAAGCCATATCTGGAAGACACCTCTGAAAAGCAATCATTCCAAAAGAATTTTAAACACAAGCAACAAAGATACCTGCATTAAGCAATTTTGAGATATCAACCCAGGAATTAAACCAAGGACAGTACCAAAAACAAAAATGAGAAGACATTTAAGCAAGGCACAAACGCAGGCTTCCATGCCACAAAAAGGAAATTCTGGGGGA